TGACAGCAGCGGGGTCTCCTTGGTAGGCGCCGGGGGGGCGGCCGTGGTTCTGGTTCCTGGGGGTTTCTCTGGGCGTTTCTGGCAGACTGAGCTCTGCGACCTCGGCAGGCTCTGTTACACCTCTGATCTCGTGTGTACTTGCCAGTCTGAGCAGCAGGACTCCCCTTGGTAGCAAGGACAGCCTTGGAAGTCCAGGTCCTTGTCGGTACCAAAGGATTTGCTCTGGTGCCTTTCCTGGCAGTTCTGCAGTGATACACCGGGTCATTTGCATATGTTGGCTGCCCCAGGGGCTTGGTCTGGCAAAGGTGTCTCAGCTGAGCTGAGCTGAGCTGAGCTGGACTATTTTTCTTCTGCCAGGGAGAGGTCTCGGAGAGTAGCTCCAGCACAGATGTCGTTCCCCGGGTTTACCTGCCAGACTCATCCTCCATCGCCCAATCCACCTTGGTCTCCAGTGTCTCCACTGTGAGCCAGTCCATCATGGTGTCAGAGTCCCCACAAGTCCTGGTCCACTCCAGTGTGGTCACTGATGGAGCCACAGTCGTGTCAGACTCCACTGCATCCACTTCCTCGGACCTGGGCTCTGCCATTGACAAAATCATTGAGTCCACGATCGGGCCGGACATCATCCAGAGTGAGTGTGTGCTCCCACCTGGAGATAGCCCTGGGGGGCTGGGAGGGAGCTGCTGCTGTTCCAGAACTCAGGAGGTGGGGGGAAATATGGACATGGAATCATTAGGGTTGGAAAAAACATCTTAAGATCATCGAGTCTAAGAGGTCAGCAGGGTTTTCTCTGCAGTAGAAGCGGTAGCTGGAGGGTTTGACAAGGAGCTCGTGCTGCTGGACAGCTGCTCCTTCAGCCCAGACAGGCTCCATTCAGGGAGCCAGACCCTTCTCACACCTTCCTGCTTGTGTCTGAGCTGGGAGAGCCCCAGTGAGCCCAGTGGCCCTGGGGTCTGGCAGTCACCTCTCTGCTCTCCCTGCCAGGCTGCATCGCCGTGACCAGTGCAGAGGATGGAGGGGCAGAGACCACCCAGTACCTCATTCTGCAAGGCCCTGATGATGGTGAGGGAACAACCTGGGCTGTCCATGTGGGTGGCTCTGTCTGTGAGCCTGTGCCACTGGAGTGGGGCCTGGAGGGGGGATCCCAGCTGGATCTACCACGGTACCTGTTCCACAGTCCTGTCAGGAGCCATCCCTGAGCTCGTGTTCAGCCCTGTGCCCCCGGTGTGGGTGCAGCCCTGGATGCAAGTGAGGGTCTGCCCCTGGGCTGAGCAGGTTTTTGGTGTTTCAGGTGCTCCCATGGTGTCCCAGGTGGCTACATCTGCTCTGGCCAGTAGTTTGGTGATAGAAGCTGTTGCTGATGGACCTACCTCCACGTGCCTTGAGCAGCCCGGCCCTTCAGGCCCATCCAAAAGGTTGGAAGTGATGGAGGTGCCCATAAAGCCAGAGCAGGATCAAGAGGAGGAGGAGCTGAACCAGCCAGACATGGAGACCCTGGAGGAGATGATGGAGGTGGTGGTGGTGCAGCAGTTCAAGTGCAAGATGTGTCAGTACAAGAGCGTCTCCAAGAAAACACTGATTAACCACATGAAAGAACGTCACTTCCAGCCAGGTGAGTGCCAGGGGCTGAGGGAAATTTACCTCGCTGCAGACAGGCTCCACTCTCTGGGGAAGAAACAAGGGAGGAGTTGGAGCATAAGGGTCTGTTCTGGCACACAGTCTGGTAAAAGAGCTTTCTCCCTGTTCTCTGTGACAGTGGGTTCAGCTCTGGCTTTGAAAAAAGGGCGACCACGAAAAGGGGGAGCTACTCCAAAGACGGAGGAGGAGGAGGAGGCCCCGGAAGAAGAAGATGATGATATCATGGATGCTGGTGCTATTGATGACCCTGAAGGTAGGAATTGCTCTCCCCACATCTTAAGTAGCTTAGTCTCTTCTCGGTCTGACATTTTGGAGCACTTGCCTGCAGAGGACAGTGACTACAACCCAGCTGAGGATGAGCCGCGGGGGCGACAGCCCAAGTACGGCCGCAGTGTCCCCACGTCCAGCGAGGAGAGGCCGCGCCGACGCCCAGGGAGACCCCGCAAGCTCCCTCGCCTGGAGAATATGCCTCAGGATGTGCCAGAAGGTGAGGGAGGAGGCAACAGCAGTGCTGGAGCAGGGAGGGGTGCACAAGCTCCCGGAGCCAACAGCGGGGGTGTGACGGAGCTGTGCTGTGCTCTGTGGAGCAGGAGGGGAAGTGGAGCCCCTGGTGACGTCCCAAGGCACACCGAGCCGTGAGCTGCAGAAGTCGGAGGCATCCAGTTCCTCTGGCCTGGAGAATGGGACCGGTGAGAGCCTGGCGGAGCCAAGCATCAGCCAGTCCGACTCTGAGAACAAGGACCCTTCCTCCAACGCGGGTGCTGAGGAGGCAGACGCTGTCCCTCGGCGGCGCGGGCGGCCCTCCCGCCGCTTCCTGGGCAAGAAATACCGCAAGTACATGGGGCGCAGGTGAGGGGGGTGTGCTGGGCCCTCTGGCCTCTGCCCAGGGCTGGTCCAGCCCATTGGCCACCGCAGCTCTGAGTCCCGCTCCTGTTTCTGCAGGTACTACTACAAGTCCCCCAAGCCCCTGATGCGGCCGTACCTGTGCCGGATCTGCGGCTCGCGGTTCCTCACACACGACGATCTGCGCTTCCACGTCAACTCGCACGAGGCCAACGACCCACAGCTCTTCAAGTGTCTGCAGTGCAGCTACCGCTCCCGGCGCTGGTCCTCCCTCAAGGTGAGCTCCGTCTGCCCTGCTCCAAATCCACAAGGGTACCTGGCAGCCCCAGGTCTCACAGCCCTGCTCTGCTTCCCACAGGAGCACATGTTCAACCATGTGGGCAGCAAGCCCTACAAGTGTGAGGAGTGCAATTACACCAGCGTGTACAAGAAGGATGTCATCCGGCACTCCACGGTGCACAGCCGGGACAGGTGAGGGAAGCACAGTCCTGGGGACTGAATGGCACTGACACTGTTCCTCCTGCCCTGAGAGGGCAGCCGTGGCTGCCCCTTCCCCTGACCTCTGGCCCTTTCCAAATAGGAGAGTTTTGGTGTCTGGATACAAGGCGGCTCAGACTTGGGGTGTGGCTCACACACGGGGCTTTTCTTCTTTCTTTTTTTAGGAAGAAGAGAGCTGATCCGGTGAGTTTGAGTACCCTGTTGGCTTGTTTCTCAGCACTGTTATATAGGAAGAGGCACATCTGGGTCTTCCACAAATTCTCGGTGCCTTGTTGAGGGCATTGTTTGTGGATCTCTTGAGGAAGCCCAGGTCCTGCAGTGGGGGAGAGGGTAAGGAAACTGGTGAGCCTGTCTAGGTGAGCTCATCTTCATGCTCTCCATCCAGCCACCAAAGCTGAACTCCTTCCCGTGCCCCGTCTGCAACCGCGTCTACCCCATGCAGAAGAGGCTTACGCAGCACATGAAGACACACAGCACAGAGAAGCCTCACATGTGTGACAAGGTGAGGGAGACACAGCCTGGGGAGGGTCTGGCAGTGGGTGGGGCTGGGCAGGAGGTGAACACTGCTCTGCTTTGTTCCGCCACAGTGTGGGAAGTCCTTTAAGAAGCGCTACACCTTCAAGATGCACCTGCTGACACACATCCAGGCCATCGCCAACCGCAGGTGGGAGCCCGGCACGGCCCACGGTGTGCCCTGGCAGAGCCCGTGTCCCACTCCCCCTCAGCCCCTGTGACGGGCAGCTTTATCCTACCAGGTTCAAGTGTGAGTTCTGTGACTATGTCTGCGAGGACAAGAAGGTCCTTCTGAACCACCAGCTGTCACACATGAATGACAAGCCCTACAAGTGCAGCATCTGCAAGTATTCCACCTTCCGGGAGGACTTCCTGGTCTCGCACATGGCGGTCAAGCACACAGGTGAGAGGAACCCAGTGTCCTGCACCCCCCCTTCTCCCGGAGAAGGTCAGAGCCTGCCTGCTCTCCCTGCCATCCCTTGGGAACCCTGTGCCTGACTCCCCCTCCTGGGCCCTGCAGGAGGGAAGCCGTTCGCTTGCGAGTTCTGTCACTTCACCACCAAGCACAAGAAGAACCTGCGCCTGCACGTGCAGTGCCGCCACGCCGACTCCTTCGAGGAGTGGGCTCAGCGGCACCCCGAGGAGCCGCCCTGCCGCCGCCGCCCCTTCTTCACCCTGCAGCAGATCGAGGAGCTGAAACAGCAGCACAACCAGGTGCAGGCACCAGCCGAGCCGGAGGCCAGCCCACAGGTGAGTGCCGTGCCCGGCCCCGGCTCCTCCCGGTGCTCGCTGCCTGCCATGCTGTCAGCTCCCTCTCTCATGCAGGCACCTCTTGGCCCCCTCACCTGCCACACGGTCCAGGCCGTCACAGGAGCAGAACCCCCTGTCCTCTCACAGAGTTCCCTGGAAGGGGCCACCATCATCTATGAACAAGGTCAGTGAGCTCCCAGGAAGGGGTTGGAATGGGGAGGAGGTGGGCAAGCACCTACCTGACTCTCTCCATCCACCCCCCCAGATGTGGCTGGATCAGCAGAGCTGGCCACACAGACAGCCCTGGATCTGCTGCTGAACATGAGCGCCCAGCGAGAGCTGGCCACAGGCTCACTGCAGGTGAGCAAGGCTGAGGAGGCCAGACCTGCTGAGGGATGGCAAAGGGAGGCTTCCCAACCCTGTTCCTCTGCAGGGGTGTCTTGCAGAGCCTTGCTCCCCTTGGCTGAGCCGCTGTCTCATACAGGTGGCAGTGGTGAAGCCAGATGACCCAGAAGAGACGCCAGGCCCCTGTGAGCCACAGGCACAGGAGGAGGAGGCGAAGGTGGACTCAAAGGAGCAGCAGCAGCAGAAATTGGTGATGCTGCACATGGCAGAGCCTGGGCAGACACTGGTGCAGGAGGCTTACAGGGAGGCAAGCCTGGGTGGCTCGGAGCTGCAGCAGATCACCATCCCCTTTGGCGGGACAGCAGAGTACAGCATCATTGCACCCATCAGTGAGGAGATCCAGACCCCTGGCACGCTGTACAGGTCAGCTGTAAGGGAGGAGCGGGGAGGTGGAGGCCCTTCTGCTCTCCAGTGAGGAGGCTTTAAGTGGTGAGGAGGAGGAGGAGGAGGCAGGGCCTCTCTGACCCTGTCCTCTCCAGCAGTGAGGAGGAGAGCCCTGTGGAGACCTCCCACGCAGTTGTGGTGAGCGGGGCTGTGATGACGGAGGAGGCTCTGAAGGACCATAACAATCATTACATCATGTCATCCAGTGTCCCAGGGAGCCAGTTCCAGACTGTGGAGGTAAGGAGCTGAGCCTGCTCCCCGTCCTGGGCAGCAGTGTGAGCAGGTGTGACTGGTGTTTCTCCCGCAGCCCCTCAGCGGGGATGCTGCAGTTCCCTCGCCTGTGGAGGGCCAGGAGGCTCAGCCCGCCGATGTCAAGTGGCCCCTGGTGCAGTGTGTCACCAGGCAGCTCCAGAAGGACTCATCTTTATCCCCAGCCTCCGAGGGGCAGGAAGTCTCATCCCCAAAGGTCAAGTGGCCTGTACTCCAAGGCATGGCCAAGAAGCTCTCGTGCAAAGTTTCCACAGCCAAGAAGCTCTCGTGCAAGATTTCCACAGCCAAAAAGTTTTCATGCAAGATTTGCACAGCCATGTTCACAGGGAGAGCAGAGATGGAGAGTCACAAGAGAGCCCACATTGGGCCCAGCACCTTCAAGTGTCCTGACTGTAACTTCACTGCCACGCTCTGGCCGGAGGTCCGGGTAGGTTCCCTGGCACAGAGCAGCCCTGGGAACAAGGGGTTTGGGAAAACGGTGTTTCCGTCCTGACTCTTGTCCTCCTGTCCCAGAGCCACATGGTCCAGCACGCCAGTCTCCGGCCACACAAGTGCCCCCACTGCAGCTTTGCCTCCAAGAACAAGAAGGACCTGCGCAGGCACATGCTGACCCACACCAACGAGAAGCCCTTTGCGTGCCACGTCTGTGGGCAGAGGTGGGTGATGGAGCAGGGCTGTTCCTGCTTTGGGAGATCCCACAGAGCTCTGCAAGGTTCAAGAGGAGAGACAGGATCTTGGCAGAGCTCACTGCTCCAGCCCTTCCCCAGCAGCAGCCCCTGTTAGAGGGGACTCTGCCCTTGGAACAATTCCTGCTGCAGGTGGACTCAGCTTCATCCCCAAGGAAGCTCTGCATGGGGAGGTTCAGTACCTGGGCACTGATTGGGAACATGCTAGGAACTGGTATGGGCCGTGCCTGTGGCCTGTGTCTCTGAGAGAGTACAGGGTCCTGTGGCAAACTCCACCTTGCTCTGCTCCTCCCGTAGGTTCAACCGTAATGGGCACCTCAAGTTCCACACGCAGCGTTTGCACAGCTCTGAGGGGAAGAGGCCAGGGCCTGCTGCTGCCCAGCAGACCATCATCCTGAACAGTGACGAGGACACCCTGGCCACCCTGCACAGTAAGATGTGTCCCTGTGACCAAGACTGACCTGCAGGTGTCCTGCAGCCAGAACCCTGTGCAGGATTCACCCAGCCCGTGGGCCAGGCAGGGCTGAGTTGGGTCAGGCCAGGAGCAGCCTCTGGGGAGTGGGGCTATGGGCAGCCCTGGCAGTGTCCCCACTGGTGTCCCCAGCAGCTCTCTCTGCATTGCAGCAGCTCTGCAGGCCGGCCAGGCCGTGCTGGCTCCTGAGAGGCTGCAGCAGGCCCTGGGGCAGGAGCACATCCTTGTCACACAGGAGCAGAGCGTCACCAGCCAGGTGAGTCGGACCCCTTGGCCTCAACCTCCCTCTCAGGGGACTGCAGCCAGGCCCAGCCCCCCTGACCACATGGGGCACTTACTGACCTTGCAGGAGGAAGCAGCCTACATCCAGGAGATCACAACTGCAGACGGGCAGACAGTACAGCACTTAGTGACCGCTGACAACCAGGTGAGGGGACACAGCCCACGGACGAGGGACTCTGCCCAGTGGGAGCTGGGAGAGCTGGTGGCAGTGGGGACAGCAGGGGTCAGGAGGGAGAGCTGGAGCCACTGGGGTGGTGAAAACAGGCACAGGAGACAGACGGATCCAGCCCCGTGGTGGTGGGAGGTGGGCAGTGGTGATCTTTCCTGGGCCTGAATTCCTGTGTTTGCAGGTTCAATACATTATTGCCCAGGAAGGCGTCCCACACTTGCTTCCCCAGGAGTATGTTGTTGTCCCAGAGGGACATCACATCCAGGTGAGCTTCAGGCTGGGTGGGGCTCATAGGGTGCCATGTGTGGGGCTGAGCCCCCTTGGGCCCCCTCCAGCTTACTCAGTTCAGGTCACAGCTTTGTTGGGGGCCTGGACAGTCACAGCCGTAATGCAGCCTCACTGCTCGTCCCCAGGTACAGGATGGTCAGATCACCCACATCCAGTATGAGCAGGGCAGCCAGTTCCTCCCGGAGTCGCAGGTAAGGGGCCAGGCAGGAGCTGGAGGGGCTGCTGTGAGGTGATCCCTGAGCCTGCCTGGAGAGGGCGATGTGAAACGGTGCTCATGGGCTAGTACCTCAGTGCAGCGACTGTGGTGAGAGCAGCTCCAGAAGAGCCCCTTCCCTCAAGCCTTCCCTGTTCTCCCCTGTGCAGATCCAGTACATGCCCGTGTCACCTGAGCAGCAGCTCGTCACCCAGGCACAGCTGGAAGCAGCGGCACACTCGGCTGTCTCAGGTAGGAGCAGGGCCCTGGGCTGAAGGGGCCAGTCCTCCCAGGGCTTGGGGTGCCAGTCCTGCCAGCAGCAGTGCTTGGGGCTGGCAGGGAGCTGTGCAGTGGCCCTGGGCGGGAGGATTGGATTGCTGTTTTGCTGCCAACCGTGGTGTCCAAGGGCGGATCTTTGCTGATCTCAGCCTGTCAGTTCCTGTCAGTTCCAGAACAGAGTTAACCAGAGCTGGGCTCCCTGGTCCACAGAGCATGAGCCCCACAGGAGTGAGGTGGCCGTGTGTCCCTTCCCTGGGAGCAGGAGAGGGGACCCTGCAAGGTGGTGCTGACCCCCCTTTCCCTGCAGCAGTGGCAGATGCAGCGATGGCCCAGGCCCAGGGCATCTTCAGCGCTGAGGCGGCGGCCGAGCAGATCCATCAGCTGCAGCCGGGCATCCACTACGACGTGATCACGCTGGCAGAGTAGCACCGGGCAGGGCTGAGCACCGGGCAGGGCTGAGCACGGCGCTGGGCAGGCGGCCACGCCGGCAGCAGCCCCAGCCAGCAGTTGCCTTATTGCGTCAGGGACGCGAGGGACGCGCCCGAGCCGGAGCGGCACAGACATGGACACGCTGCCGCTCGGCCCCGTGCCAGTGGGGTCCTGTGCATCCCCCCAGAGACTGTTCAGCAGCTGCAGGGGCAGCCCGTGTGTGGATGGTCTCTTTGCCTGTTGCACTCGATGGTCTGAAACCCCTTCTCCTGAATTATCTGTGTGTGCAGCCACAGATCGGTGTCTGCCCAGCACATGAGGGTCCTGGGGGAGCCGTGGGGCCGAGCACAGCTGTGTGGTGTGATGTGAGAGGCGAGGTGTGTGCAGCCACAGCACCATGCTCCCCACAGCCATGGGGCCTGTGGTCCCACTGTGCCAGCAGCCAACCCTCCCGTGGCATCTCCAGCCTGCAGGCAGGCAGCAACAGGGCTCTGGACTGGAGAAACCTAAGGAGGAGGAGGAGGCAGAGGTGGTAGATGCTCTATTTTTCTTCTGAAGAGGGGATGAACTCTGGTGTTGGTTGTCGGTGGTTGTGGGAGGGGTTCAGCTGTGACATTCTCAAGCTTTGACTACGCTTATGAATAAAAAGGGATGGAGACCTGTGTGTGTGCCTGCCTGGGGGTTTGGGCTCCAGCCAGGGGGGACAGGACAGCCCAGTCTCCCCAGCACGTCCCCCGGGGCTGCAGCACAGGGGTCCCAGAGCCCAGGGCTGCGCTGGGCCCGTCGCTGCTGGCTGACACTGTGGGCTATCAGCTGCCTCCCGCCCGAGTGACCTTGACTCCTGGGAATTGAGCTGGGCAGCTGGGACAGCGGTGGGCTTGGGGCTGGAGTCATGAAATTAATCGAGTGGTAAACAGCCTAAATCCCGTGTAACTCTGTCCGGAGCCCCACACCGCCCTCCTGAGCGGCTTGTCTGGGCGTATTTACATGCGATTATAACAGCTAATCGCAGAGTTTTAGTTCTCTGCTCCTGCATTAAACTGATTATCCACGGAGGGGGAAAAAGGTTGGGAACCACCCAGCCTCGGGGAGAGCCTCTGTGAGGCCCAAGCCCCACAGCTCTGGGACGGGGGCAGTGCAATCCCTGGGCACTGTGATGGGCTCTCCCTGTCCTGCTCAGGCAGGGGCAGGGGGGTATGGGCTGACACCCCCGACCACCAGGGCAGTGAGGTGTGTGTGGCCCCCCGTGGTGACCAGCCCTAGCTGTGGCTCTGTCCCGGTTGTGGCTCTGTCCCAGCTGTGGCTTCATTCCGACTGTGGCTCCGTCCCGCTGCCTTCACACCAGCCTTGTCCATGCCCAATGCTGCTGGTGCGTGGCTGTGCCTGCCCGGCGTGGCTCAGTCGGTGTCCAGCTGTGTGTGCCGGCGGCTGGCTGTGGCCCTCCCTCTCCAGCTGTGCTGTGCAGGGTCAGGGTGTGCCACAGCAATCCACAGGCGCTTTCCTAGATTACAGCCCCATTATCTAATCAAGTGGATCTGCAGCACTGATTA